GATTTCTGGATATAAGGGTTTAACTCAGATGCCCTGGACTTCCCAGTGGATGCTGCTGAAAATGTAGATAAAATTTTAAGATGTATGAGAAAAGTCTCTCCAGCAGAGAGAGGACACATAGAATCCTTATGTGAGATATCTCTGATAGTGTTCACTGCTCAAGAAAGCACTAGAGAAGAACAGATAGGTGGGCCAAATCACAGCATTGATACCTAAACAGAAGACAGGCATCATCCCTGGTAGATGTCAAAGGCTGCCCATCCCTGCTGCTGCTCCTTGTACCATGCAGCAAAGAAAGGGAGTGTTTCCATCCCTGTGTTAGCTAATGAAGCACACATGGTAACGCAGACAGCCCGGCCACATGGCTCACCAGGCTTCTGCAGCACTGCCGGGAAGCTTAACTTTGGGCTGTAACTGCACAGTCATTAGTGTTTACAAAACAAGCTTCCAGGGAAGCAAAATTACACACTGAGGAAATAATAAGAAGCAATGTAATCAGATGTGAGAGGGAGATCATTTCATTACCTGAACCAGGCCTCATTATTCACCATTTCCCTGGCAAGAGCCGATAAATGCAGGTTAATGAATTTGAGTGCTGTGGACGAGGGGAAGGAATGCTGGCTCAGCGCTGCCGCATGCTGAGCAGGACCTGAGAATCCAAAAACCTAAAGTGCAAAATACCAACAGACCCCTTACAGCACTGCAGTGAGACAGAGAGGGGTTCAGAATCATAGCATCAAGGTTGGAAAAGACCCACAGGATCACCCAATCCAAACAGCCACCGATCACCAATAGTTTGCAAAGACTAGCTCTATTTTTTTCTACTCCTTTTGCCTAGCTCACAAGCAGCATAGCTCCCAAATTTCACATAAAGCACCAAAACATTTGGCAAGGCTCCCCTGGAAGGACCACATGCACTACCAACATAAGATGAAAACCTATTCAGAGAGGAACACACATATCCTAATACTACAGGGAAATGTTGCCCTCGTCTATCTTCCAGTGACAAGTTTTATTTTCCTGCCTACCATGCACAAGCCATCCATCACTTCCAGAAAGAAAAGGTCACTCTGTTCTTGCAACCAACTCCCAAGCCTGTGCCTGGACCTGGGCTTGCACCAGGGCCATGAACAATGCTGTTTTTGGGAATTGGAGACAATACAACTGCATTGGTGCAGTGGGGTCTGAACACAGAAACATCTCAATTATCCATATGAGAAAACAGTGACTTAGCCAAAAGAAGAAAAGGGCTTCTAGGCTCATTTATAAAGATAAAACCACATAGCCCCAATGCCTGGGAGCAAGAGCACTGAGAGGCAGCAGCAGGCTCAGCAGGAGCAGAGGTCCATCCAGCCATCAGCTCCTCCTCACCTCTCCCAGCTCTGTGCTCCAGGGCTTGGCCGACACCTCAGCAATCACAGTCTCTCATTACAGCCTTTCTGCCCGGCACATTAATTTGATCTGTCATTTCACAGCCCTGCACCTCCCTCTGAACAGGTGGAACACGGCAGATTCCTCTCATTATTTTAGTCTCTGTCAAACCAATATGAAATCAGAGTATTCTACATATTTCTAGATTTTCCCCTGGGCATTCATCATTCTCTGATCAGCAGCTGTATCAAGTACACCACTATATTTCTACCTCCCACAGTGCTGTCTGCAGTATGTCCTGAAAATACGACCAGTGTTTGGCCTTTTTGGCTCCTTGTCAGTGTTTGCTTATTCTTTTCTCTCATTGCTTTCAAAGCACTTGAAAAGTATTGAAAGTAAAACACAAGTGCATGTTTACAAGCTGCCTCACAAGCTTTCTCTCTGTGGCTCCAAGAGGGGCCGTACCTTTTCCAAGCACTGAAATAGGCAGACATTCACTGCACACCATTGATACAACTGCACCCAGCTTCCACCAGCACTGCAGCCCTTCAGCCATTGCAGGCAGGCCTGCAGAACTCTGTTGGCACTTGATCACCTCTCAGCTCCACAGAAGTGCTGCCAGCCGAGGAGCTGCACTGCTGTTCCAACCATTCCTTAATAAAACTCTCCACTGGGATCTGACCTGAGACAGTCAGTTGAGCATCCAGCTCAGCAAACTTCTGCCCCTATTTCCCTGCCTGAAGGTCTGCACCCTACCTTGTGCAACACCATTGCAACACACAGCTGTGTGCTCAGCCCCTTCATACTCATTGCCTGCAAAGCTGCACCAGGTGAGCACACTGGGATGCATCTCTACCTGTGCACGCTTGCAGGTGAGGGGACAGCCCATGCTTTCACTCTATCCCAGGCTCCCACAAACAGGAACACAACTCCATCCTTCTGCACAAGCTTCCCAGCAGTAGCACTATTTGTACCCAGCTCTGTTTTAATCTTTCTGCTGCCATCTAGATTCTGGCAACAACAATATCAAGTGAATGCAATCCATCTTCTGTTTGCTTGTTTCCCTATCTGCTCTCTTTACCAGGCCTGACACAGAAAGTTGCTCGCACCAACCACGGAGCTCCTTGCAAACTCTTCTGCATTCCCAATTGTTAGGCTGGGGGAACTGTGTGCTATATTCAAGGTGCCTACAAAGACTTCACCTCCATATTGACTCCATACCTCACTGAGGTGCAGTTTTACCTACATAATTGGCTGCGTTTTCACGCACCAACAAAGCAGTTTAGGAAAGCTGTCTCACATGGGTTTAACTGGGGAAGAAAGTCTGCCTTTAATAACTGTGACCATGCCATCAGCTGTCCTGACCTTAATGGAGCTCAGGTGAGGCTGCCATTCCCCACAACAATTCTTTCAGCAGATGTTCCAATTTACACGTTGCTGCCCCTCTCACCACAGCTTCTCAGCCTAACATCATGTCTTGTGGCTTGGCCAGAGGCTGCTGCCTTTGATTCATCTCATTTCTATAGCTCTAGCCTTCTGACGATCTACTGAATAATCCCAAGCCAGTCCAAAATCAACTTCTTTTCCTTTTCTCTTTCCAAGAGTTTTCCTCTCTGTTTATTTTCATCCATGGAAAGTATGGAATGAGAACAGGGCAACCCTAGGGACTGCACAGAATCATAGAACTGTTGGAGGTGGAAGGGACCCTGAAAGGCCATCTGGTCCAACTCCCTGCACTGAGCAGGGACACCCACAGCTCCATCAGTGCTCAGAGCCCATCCAGCCTGACCTTGGGTGTCTGCAGCAACGGAGCACAAACACCTCTCTGGGCAACCTGCGTGTTCACCATTCTTGGAAAAAACTTCCTTAGATCCAGCCTAAATCTTCCCTCTTTTACTTTGAAACCATTTCCTCTCATCTTGTCACAACAGACCCTGCTGCAGAGTCTGTTCTCTTCTTTCTCACAGCCCCTCTAGATACTGAAAGGCTGCTCTCAGCTTTCCCCTCAGCCTTCTCCAAAGAGAATCCAACTTGCAGCCCAAACTGCAAAGGGTAAAATGCTGACTTACCCCTTGCACATTTGGGAGCAGGGGGCACAAAGCTCCACTGTGGGACTGAGAAGGTCCATTTATGGGGACAACCTGTCTGCTGGGGTGACCGTGGTCAACTTCTGTCATACTGCAGCTGCCTTACCAACATAAACACTTCACTGAGACCACGAAGATCTCAGAGCACCGAGCATCTTTTTTTCCACCCAGCTGAAACGTGAATTAACACAAATAAAACTAGGAAAAAGAGGGAAAGGGAAAGAAGAGAAGGGAAGAAAGACCTTTTGATACTACTGGCCGGATTCAAAGCTCAGCCACCGCCCAGCAGCCACCAGCAGGGCAGGAACGAGTGCCAAATGACTCAGCTTTAGGAGCAGCTCTGCGCCCGCAGCACGAAGCCACGCTGCTCCCTGCTGGTCAGAGCAGCACCGGCAGAGCTCAGACTTTCATAACTTGAATACAAGCCCGTAGACTGCCTTCCCAATGGAAATAACTGAGGGGATTTATATTTGCTCTCCTGTGCTGGGCCCCTAACTAATTGCCTTGCGTACATCTACAAACGCCACTTGGAATACTTCTTTTTAAATGTTTCCATGCTGTAGATGTGGCTTTTCAGACTTTTTGGAACTGCTCACACGTCTGTGTTCTCTTTCTGTCTGAAAACATACTTGTGTTTTGAGGCAGTCCAAAATCGACTTCTTTCCCTGTTCTACTTTTCTCTTTCCAAGAGTTTTCCTCTCTTTTTAGTTTGATCCAAAGCAGAATCGTTCTCTTTTAACATTTTTCCTTAAAGAAGCACACAAACAAACAGTCATTTAGATCCCTTGCCCAGCACAGAACACCCTCCCATCCCAGACCTTGCAACACAAACAAGCACTGCAATGTTTGGCACCAGCCCTCATCGGAGAGGAAAGCACTTGGATCTGCTGCCTCTGCACAGAGGGACAGTAACTCTTCATATGTAACCCTCAGGGGCCATCCGACAACCCCAAGGGATGGGCCAGAGCTGGGTTGGTGAAGAATATGAATGCCAACACCTAAATACTTTTAAAACTCCTTGGCAGATGGCAGCACTCAGCATAAAGAGGAGAAAATCAGCTCACCCCAAAAAGACTGCACGCACTGGAAAGATGGGGTATGCAATCACCCAAATCTGGATCTCCAGCCCTTGAGAAGTTGCCTAATGTCACTCTTATGGGAGGTTCCACTGGTAAACATCATGAAACTGATTCTTAGAAGCACCTATGAGCAGAAGAAGCTTCAGAAAAGTCCCAGCAGGGGCTCCCTGCAGGGCAATAGATGGGAACCAGGTGTTGGCCTTCAGCATCTCTTGTCAAAGCTCTCCTGGAACTCTTTTGGAGCTGGTTTGGCCAACCTGCTTCCACACCACTTCTTGGTTACCTTCTGTATGTTCAGACTAAGCTTTGAAACAGGGCTACTGCATTCAGTCCTACCTATTATAAGAAAAGTCTTTGTCCAGGTTGAACCTTTCCAGTTCAATAGCACCAAACATTGAAGAGGTGGTGGTACTTCCCACCCCACCAACTGCTGCCCCCCACCTCCATACAAAAGGCTGAAATCTCATTTTCCAGCTCCAAAGAGCCATTAAAAACAGAAAATTACATTTTATTTGCAATCAAGTGTTGATTTGTCACAAAAAAAATCAGTACAAAACATACAGCGAGGTGTGCGTCTTGGGCAACGAGCCACGATCCACAGTCCTTCAATGTTCAGAAACAGTGACAAAGCCCTGAGAGGAAGGGATGAGAAACCCTGCTGCACTGTTCCTGAGGAACCATTATCACAGTGAGAGAGACATGCCCCAGCACAGAAAATGGATGCTTTCATTCCATAAAGCCTTGTTTTGAGGTTTTTTTTTTTAAGAGGGGAATTCAGTCCTATTGTGAGTGAGGTCAGCTCTCCAGCTATCCCATTAGTTCCAAGGTAAAAGCAAAAGTCTGCTTTTCCAAATACATCACAGACTTCCTCACTTTTCAGTATTCTCACACATCAGCAAATGTTGGACTACTGGTATTACAAAGTCAATTCTAACCTTCACCTGGCGGTTCTGCTTCTTCTAGCTCTATCCAAAGACTGATGACACTGTTTGAACCCTTAGAAAGCACTCTGCTTTCCCTTGCAAGGAAAATCCCAGGAGAGAACAAGCCTTGCTGGCTGCATGGAGAGCAGAAATCAAAGGTTGCCATTGGGGGCTGCAGAGCCCAAGGACAGATTATTGGAGATATGGGATGTTTGAATTATAAATGGCTGAATGCTGGGCACAGAGCATGACACAACAAAAGGTGACTTGGTGGGCTCCAAGAGAAATAACGATAGAGCAGGCCGCTTCTCACCGCCTTATTTCCAGTGATGGCAACTTCTTGCCACTCAATATTTAGGTGCATAGACAAAATGAACGCACTGTGTAGCGAACATCAGATCCTGAGCAGCCTCACAGCATTGAGCAAGGTTTTAAGAAAAAGTCTTCATGTTCCCTGAGCTGCAGGGCCAGGCAACAGCACAGCCCCACACAGCACTGCAGAGGGCACAGCAGAAGGAAGAGCTGCATGCTGCCCACAGCACAGAAGTGCATGCAAGTACAGCAACTTTTGGCTTCAATTTCATGTAGCTGGGAAGCACCAGGGTGTGTTTTTATTCTTCTCCACACCAGTAGGCACAGTCCAGCTGGATACTGGTGGGATGGGACCACGCATGCCCAGGTCCATCAGCCTGGGGAGGCTGCAAAGCCTCCTCCTGCCCTCTCAGACCTGGTTACCTGGGAAGGTCTGTTCTTCCCCAAGAATACAACACTACAAATAAATAATGGGGCTTGCTTGCATCTGAAGGCTGAACTTGAAAGGGCAGAAGGTTGATTGTTGTTTTGCATTGTCACTTTCTAACAGTTAAAGAAAACACACATCTATGTTAAAAGTTGATCATCCAAAGAGCCATCTCATTCTCGGATGTACATAAAGCCGGACACAGTAGGAATCTCATGCTCCTTTTCCTTTTTGGGAGTTACAACGTGGCTGTATCTTTCTCCTCGGTGACATTCCAGGTAGGGACCCCAGTTTGCTGTAGGCCTGCAGCAGCTTGCGATGCGCTGAAAAGCAACAGCAAGAGGCAGTTCATATCTCACCTTATGGAGCTTTAAAAATAGCCCAGAATAAAGCTGTAACTCTAAACATGTCCCTAACTCAAGAAACAGCAAACATACCATCTATGTTTTATAAAACATTCTGGACAGATTCAGCTATTGAAGTTCAAACAGACTGAGAAAGCTGTGACCAGCAGGACTCTTCTTGCAAAGCCTGGCAAGAAGAGCAAACACCAGATCTTGTACTTGCTCATTTCAGTGAGGAATAGGAGGCAAAATTCCAGAAAAATAAAGACACAAATTTTCTGGAAAAAAATGCACACACACACACACATATATATATAGTGTTCTAAGTGGAATAACAACAAAAAAAAACAACAAAAAATCACTGTTGAATGTGTGGGCACACTCCCAGAGAAACAGACTTTATCTTCATACCAGACCACAGTAGGGTACATTTGGCTCTGATATAACTACCAAAGATGTGGTTTGGGGTATAAATCCAGGTGATGGAACCTTGAGATATTCAACATGCTTTTGAGAAAAAGGCACAGACATTCCTGACGATGCCATGAAAAGCAAAACTAGGGACAATGACCACTGCATTGTATCCTTACCTGAAAAAGGTTTCCTTCTGCTTTAAATATTTTTACAACAGCCACAATGGGAATCCAGATGACACAGAAGATGATCATACACCAGCCAACAGCAGTTCCCCATGTTGGATATGGCACTGAGCCATAAGTGGGAGCTGAAAACGTCACTAATGACCAGACCAAAATTGCCTGTTTAAAAGTACATATAAAGAAATAGATAGGAGAGAAAAGCAGATTTCCAGTTGAAGTCAACTTGGACCATATTTCCAACTTAGTTTAAAATAACCCAAACAAATGAACAACCCAACCTATCTACACATTCTGCACTTTCTTCATGCTTTCTGAACATGAGATTTGTTGTACAGGATTCAGTGCTGAGCTATGGTCAAGCAGTAAGACTGGAAGACAGAACTCAAAGAGAATGTTGACATGAAAGCCAACATTTTAAACATACCTACATTTAAACAGAACTAGATTTCTGGGTCCTGTTGAGCCCAGCACTGGAGGACACATGTTACTGAGTAAGCTTAGCATCTTTTCCTGTAATGTTTTATGTGCTCTAATGTTCCTGTACTTACAGGAATGAAAAATAATTAAGATTAAATGGTTGCAGAAGGAAGTTGTTTATAAGGAACATTTTCTTAATTATAATCTGAAGAGAATAAAGACAATGCCTTCTGGCCAAAGAGACCTGTCACTGCTCGTGGACTTAGGATATTAAGTTCAGTCATACAACAAAATCCAACCATCTACAGTCACAGCGAGGAACAGAGGAGTAATGCAAACCTGAGAATTTTTATGTATTTTTACAGAACAAAAGAGAAATCTCAGACAGGTGAACATCTGGACATCTGAAGAATAAACCTGTGCAAGAGATCTGTCCAGAAAATGGGATTTCTATCAAACAAGAGGCTAGGTTTTAATATATATTCTCTTAGCTTGCAATGATGAGAAGCCAACTGCTAAAATAGACAATCTACTTGGCTCTGTGTTACTCCTTGGAGCATAGATCCAGTTTGCTGGATCTGAAGGTGTAGCTTGTCCTGGAGAGGATGCTGGAGTCACCATCCCTGGAGGTTTTCATGAAACACAGAGATATAGCACAGAGGGCTATGGTCAATGGGGATGGAAGTGGGTTGATGGTTGGACTTAGTGATCTTAGTGGTCTTTTCCAACCGTAACAATCCTATAAGTGGCATGTATTGAACAGTATGGATAATGCATAGGATGCTCCACTGTCTCAGCTATATAAGCTTATCTTTGCCTACAGAGCATGGGCATTCATCCCTGCATATTTACATGGAAACCTATCTGTCACCAAATCAATAAATTCTATCACATTAATATAATCCAGTCAACTGTACTCACCACTAACAGCACAGGAGTAATGAAAAACCAGCACATCCTCCACCACATCCAGAAGAAACAGCTCTTCTTCCCAATCATCATCTCTATGTCTTCAATAAATCTGTTTCCTCCTGTGGAAAAACAATCACACGGTGCGTCGTAAAGCACATAAGGACCTTGCATGTGCCTATCAAAATGGCAGAAGGAAGGAGGTGGTCAAGGTCAATAACTCCAGTTCTATGATAATTAAACAAAAGGCTTTCACCATTAAGAAGTCATAAATCTTTTACTGCAGAAACAAATGTTTAATGTATGCTCTGTCTGTATAATCAAATCTATAGTCAAAGCATGGTTTTTCAATGTCAGTAATTTACCATAAATGTAGACGATGCCTATTATCTCCAGGACTGCAGCAAAAAGAATTCCCCATCCAGCACAGAAGTGATCTATTAAGTTCACCCAGTAAATTCCTGCCTGCAGGACAAACAAGAAAGAGGTAAAAACGTACCCAGTGCCCATAATATCTTCATGCAAATAAAATTCTCTTGTTCAAGCCAGTTTAACTGACCACCAGTCTGAGCTTTTCAAATTCCCATTTCTCCAGGTTAAGCACACATTTGCAAACATTATTTCATTTACACGTCTCTATGAAAAATTAGAAGGCAGGTCTGCAGATCTATGGTGTTTTGTCACGTTAACGAGATCCACGTATATGCAAAGTGTATATAGACAGCTGATAGCAAGATTCAAGTTTGGCACTTATAGTATTCATAGTTGTAGCATAGCTATAGTATATATTAGCATCAGCAACACGAGAAAGAAATCAGACTGCTTCACCATCTTTAATGCTGAGCTACAGGAATGGCTGTGCCAGTTAGCAGCTCTGTTAGGCTTGTGCTCTTACACAAGTTTCCCACACTGGTTGAACAAGGCTGTGAATACTTGTATGCAACAGCAGGATCACAGAGCAGGGGACAGCTTTATATTTCACATTCTTTCATACCACGTCCTTTGCAAATCCTCCCATCATGTTTCATAACCTATACGCTTTCCTTGACCGTACACTGCTGCCTATTCACCACAGTGATCTTTATATTCTCAGTCCAATTACACATAGGAATCTGTGTTTCTGGATGTAGTCCTGGCAATTAACCTTTAGAACTGTACAAGCAATTGCCTCAAGAAAAAGCACACAGTGTACTGGAAATCCCATGTATTTCTGGAGAAGTAATGATGTGTTAATAGGTTTTTTATGGCTTGAACAGAGAATTTCTCAAATGCTGCTGTGTTTGGTAGTTGGTTCTGAACACAAAGGTTCTATCCACGTCTAGCAGCAGTTCCCACAAGGCTGCAGACACACTGTGTGTATATGCTTGAAATTACACAGACAGTCTTCTAAACCCAGTAGCAAATAGTCAGGTTGATGGCTCACAGGCTATTTATAGGCCTTTTATTTAAAAACACATCTCAGTTGAGTAACCACACAACACCCTGAAGTACTCCAGCACTTCCCCGTGGGAATTTCCTATTTGCACATCCAAGCACACGGACAGCATCGGTGATTCTCTCAGACTCATGCAAATGGAAGCTTTTGGGGAAGCTCTTTTCACATTGCAAAGGGATGTTCTGACCCACTTGCAGAATAACTAAAGCCACTGCCAAGACAAGTATGGCACCTTACCTGAGTAACACAGATCAGACCAAGAAAGAAGAGCAATACACACACACCCAGGGTTATAGGGATTCTCAACTTTTTCATCATTTTGGGATATATATCTTGTATGGTGGTTGTAAGTGTTTCTGCAAGGGAAAGATAAGTGTGAGTTTTGAAGAGCACAATTTAGAAAGGTACTGTTCATTTGGGAAGCAATCAGTTACTTAAAACCCCACTCACCTATAGTGGCAAACTGGGAGTCAAGGCCCAAAAGCAGAAGCATGAAGAAAAATAAGAAGGACCAAAGAGGGGAAACTGGTAACTTGGAGAGAGCCTCAGGGTAGGCTACAAACGCCAGATCAAATCCTGGAAAGAAGCAGAATGATGGAGGTTACTGCTATGTTTTGTTCAAGCTCAGTCATACCAATGGTGCAGTGATCAGCCTACCTGAGTCCACGACCTCTGAGACAGGTCTCTTCAACACGAATGCCATATGTCCCAGGACAGAGAAAATTGCAAACCCGGCGAATACGCTGGTGAGGCAGTTTGTTACACAAACAAAAATAGCATCCGAGTAGCAGTTGTTGTGGAACTTGTTGTATGAAGACAAAGCAACGAGTCCACCCCATGCCACAGAGAGGGAGTAGAATATCTGAGTGGCTGCATCCTTCCAAACCTACCAGAACCAAGCACATGCGAGTTATTATTAAAGTTATTATTAAATGCACCATAGCTATTCACGTGAACTGTCCATGGAAGCTCCAAGATTTTTCTACATCCAGACTAAATATCTGATTTTATTTCATATGAACTTCAGAATAGGTAGGATATAGCATGCTGGTGATGCTGCAGTCTCCAGCACAAACAAGGTCCTCTGTGAAATCATAAAGGCAACATCCCAAGTATGTTGCCAAATATTTAGGCTTTACTGGGCCAACTTTGAAGAAGAGATTCAATTCACTTACATACATAGGTTGTCAAGATGTGAGTCTTGTCACAGTGCCAATGAATAAGAGAAACCAAGAGAGGCCTCAGAAATGAGCTTCCATTTGCTCACTAACTTTTGTTCTTCACACCGTGACCCAACCAAATCAAATGATTTATGTGGGAAACTGTGCCCCTGCTGCATCCCCTCAGTTAATGCCCAATGCTCACCTAAGACACCACAAATGAACCATACTGAATATTTGCTTTTGTTCAAGCAGAACTAATGTACTGAACTATAAGGAAAAATCATCCAGGCTTCCTTTGCACAAAGCACCCTTCCCTACCCATCCAATTTCCTGAGGCGATCTGCTGGGCGATGCACAGCCTGAATTTCTCCTTGAAATTCTTACAACCAAAGCAAGAGGGCATCGTGCAAGAGCGATGATCCCACACCAAGGGCCATCTCAGCAGGTTTTGCTATGGTGAAACTGCCTCTGGAGAACTGCTCAAAGGCAACGTGATAGAATTTGCTGCTGTCCAGTGTGGAAAGGAGGGAGCAGATTGAGAGTAGCTAGAACAGGGGCTTGAAGCTCTCATAGAGCTGGGGTTACTGGAAAGCCAGAAACCAGCTGTCTATACAGAACTCAGGGCAGGAAGTGAAGAACTTTTGACTGGATAAAAAAATAAATTGTTCTGTAAATGCCAAGCCCATATAACCACAGAAATGCTTCCTGACACCTGACACTTCTCACCTCTGCCTCCATCAACTTGGTGATGTTGGACTGTTTCCCAATGTAATATTCAATGCCATCCAAAGCACCTTCCAGGGTGGCTCCTCGCACCAACAAGATGAGTAGGATGACATATGGGAAGAGAGCAGTAAAATAGACAACCTGCAGAAAGAAGAGCAGGGACACATGTTAGCAGTGATGAGATGCACAGCCTTTCATGCATGAGGAAGGCCAAGGGTCTAGGCTGAGAGCTGCTGGTACAAAGAGCCGACAATCCGGGAAGTGGGACTGGAGGTGAGCACACGTCAAGCACCAATCATCTGGCTTAGCCAGTTCTGGAGCTTCATTCCAGCAGGAGGCTCAAGCCACATATCCACTTTTCAGATAGCTCTCGATTAGTTTCAGAAACCTTTTCTGATATAATTTATTGCTATGGCAAGGCCTGGACTCAGCTACCTCAGATGCATCTTACTATGCAATGCTTCTAGCAAACAAGACCTGAAGCTAGCCAAAATTAGGTTATCAGGATGGAAATATCTCCTATTGAGACCAAAAAACAAAACAAAACAGCCCACGCTGGAAACTTTTCTCTTTACTGGGAACAAGGACTTTTCAGCTCTCTCAGACACAAATCCGGCTTGTTTGTCCATACAACTTCTAGCATGGTGGGAACCAGGCCAGCAGCAGGTTTATCATGCAGGCTGTGTTTAACAATACCATTGTTTCCCAAATCTTGGTTTCGGTGTTACGTAGGCAGATAATTGAAAGAACGGTGCTGGTTTCACCAAGCCATAGCCCTGCACCAGATGGAGAGTCTGTTTTTGAAGACCTCTCTCATATTTGCCTGCAGTAGTCAACTCTCTCAACTCTCCATCTCTTCCTTATTCTTGCCCAGCTAGATAGTTCTGATTCTTAACTTTCTCCTCAAGTAGTCTTACCTTCATACAGAAGTGACAGAAGAGCCATTTGTGAGGAAACCAAATAATGCAAGTTTTAGAGGAACAATGTGGCATTATAAACGATACTCAGATGCTCCACTATAAAGTTCTGAGACAAAAAGCAGAATGCTTCAAATAGAGAGGAGAATAGGAGATATTAGACTGAGCAAAGCAAGGCAGGCAATGCGGAACTTTGGAAAGGCACAGTGAGAGGAATTAAGGAGGAAAAAGAAAATGAGTGCAGAAAGGCTGACAAAGTTCTTACAACGGATTAAAGGAACAAGTAACAGAGATGCAACACAGGGAATAAGAAAGAGATATGGGAAGGGGATCAACTAAACTGAGAGAAGGGTCTCGGGCAGAGGGAATGAAATACAGCTTGAGTTCTGAAGAGGATCCTCCCTATCCAGCAGAACACAGGCAGGCCTGATAGTTCAGCACAGCCAGAGTCTGAAAACAAACACCTATGGACCTGGTCCCTGCAGGCAGCTCAGAAATCTTGGGTACAAACAAGATTTCACAACCTGGTAGGTACATGCACAACTGTTGGCAGGACTTGACCTTTATTGTCCAAACATCTCAACTGGTCTGTAGGTGCAAATAATTACTGGGTGTTACCACGGCGTATGTGCATGTGCTGTCACATGCACACCTTCATCACCACCAGCCAGCTGGCTGCCAGCACCCAGCCTGCATCACCTGAGTGACAGCATGGTCTCCAAACACAGGGCAGCCCTGGTGGAGCCAGCAGAGCAGTGCCTTAAGTAACTGCTGAGCAATCAGCACCTTACTCATATTTTATATAACAGTTCTGAAGCCAAGGTGCAGCAGCAGAGCCTAACAGTGGGTCAGCATCGCATCCTGCCTTGCGCTGGCCTCCCTCCAGTCCAGGTGACACTGGGATTGCTGCTGGGTAGGATCAGGCCAGAATCTGCCTTCTGCTCTTCCTCACTTACCTTTCCAGAAGATTTTATGCCTTTAAACAAGGCAGCTCCAACGATCATCCAGGACAGGAGCAGGCAGAGGGCCAGGTACCACACGATGTTGCCAGTCTCGTCCAGCCCAGTGGAGCGCTGAAGAGCCACTTTACTGGAAGCACAAAACAGCACAGTGAAAACAGTGATAGAAGCACCTGCTCCTCTACAGTCCCTTCCTGAAGGAAAACAAGCTGCTTCCTGTAGGTACTGGCACTGAGGAACACTGTTAGTGGTTGGGGGGTGGGTTGATGGTTGGACTAGATGATCAAAGATCTTTTCCAACTGTAATGATTCACTGGTATATTTACAAGGTCGTGCAGGCAGCAGCTATAACTGCATGATTGGAGCTGAAAAACCTAAAATGCAGCTGCGTGTTTTGCATTCTTCAGCATCCACTGGCCCTCAGTGCCACGACCGACTCCACAGGTCCCATCATGCCTCCAAGTTAACCATGAGATTCTAACAGCAGAAGAGCCCATGACAAGAATCAGTTCTCAGGCAGATAGAAATCACATGGCTGAAGAAATGGAGTTTTCAAAATAGGTTCTGATTATGAATAATAAGTATATTTTACTGCATAAATCCCCCCCCCAAAAAGTAGATACCATATACAACACCATGTAGTCCCAGCAGAACTCAAGAGAAGGCTTCTTCAGCAGGATTATTTTTCAGCTTGCTATGTGTTTGCTCATTTGCTTCCATACAATTTTTAAGGGCCCACACTCATCAACGAGAACTTAAGTTCCTCCTGCACAGATTTCCATGCTTATTCCCACTGACAAGATTGTTTCTTACTTACTTCCAGTACTGTTCACTAGGAAACTGCACTGGTTTATAGTTGATGGTGCCATTGATACACGTGAGGTTGTTGCTTGTGATGAACGAGTAGTTTGCATGAATGATTTCTCCACCTAACATTGCACTGCAGTCCTTTACTGGAAGAAAAACAGCAGGGAAGAAAAGAGACAATCAACAAGCAGCGATTGAAAAAAGGAAGTCAGCCTACAATGGTAAATATGTTTTCTAAACAGTTACAGCTTCAGCTATACACAGCAAATATAACCTACTCTCAGCATTCAAAAGCTCTGTATCAGCATTTACCATAAAATCTGGTGGAAGGTTACTCAAGACAATATCTTCAGCTGAATTTTGTAGCGCTGTCCCTGTTTTAATAGTGTCAGAAGTTATATGGCAACTTGTTTCCAACTGGGCTAATAACTAATAATTATCACATCAGCTTCACCTTTTGCCTTAAACTACCCTGATAAGAAAGCTGGGGAGATAAGTGTTTGGCAGTACATGCGCTGCCAAACATCAAGAATAATAGCATTGAGATATGTTCTAAACAGTTAATAAAGAATGAAATCAGTGCCTTATTGGTGCTCAGCACTGCTGTAGCTACAGAAGAGGCAAAGCATAATGAAAGCAGCCCTGATAAAAGCTATAGGAATACTTTTGCTTCCCTTGAGAGAGGCATTTGCTTTGCCATTAGGCCTGGTGAAATAGGAATGCAGTATTTCTTCTGGTACGTGCAATTCCCAGGAACATTAGAGTTTAAAGGCGAGGGGGGAAAAAAAAAAAAATGAAGTTCACCCCGGGTCTCTGTAGATTTCCCAAGAACCTAAAACTGGTGGAAGAGAAGATGGTAAGCATTATGCTCATGAGTTTAGAATCAAAATCCAGGAATCGTTTCCTCAAGCCACAGCTGCCATCTTGCTCCTGTAATCTCTCCCACAAAACAGCCCAAAGCACACTTTATCAAGAGTAATATTGAGCCATAGCTGTTGAGCACAGTACCTAGGCGTGTTTTGCTGCAGAACTCATCTGCCCAGGAAAAGCAATCTGACCATGGAAGCACTTTTTGAAATGAGGCAAACAAGTAGTAGAGTGCATAGGCAATGATGACGTTGTAATAGATTGCCACAAACGTTGAGATGATGACCATCGTGACACCCACTCCTATGAAACAGAAAGATGCAGAGCCTTAATTACTCCAAACTCAGGTTGAAAAACTGAAGAGCCTTCAGTTCACTTTTGAAAGGCTTCTCAGCACAAAGACTACTTTTAATAACTGCAAACAGCCACCAGACAGAAGGGGTACATCCATGAAATGAAGGGTATGATCCAAACTGACCAACCCAGACATGCTTTTGAAACAAGGTTCAACTTAGACCCATAGAAATAATTGGACTAGTTATCAAGTCTAAGGAGAAATTCAATGTTTTTTTCCTCTCCTAGCTCAGTGGAAAGCTTTGATTTCTTAGTAAAATAGAGGAAACTACACAAGACCTAGCACAGATCATTTTAAAGATACCTTTGTAATTACTAGCTTTGCCAATAAATGAGAAATAGCAGAAAATGACAGAAGTCTGCCATTAATACTGGTATTCTCCTTTTCTAAATGAGCTTTGTTCTGAGTTAGAGGAAATCTGCCAAACAGCTCCTAATCATTCAGGGAGTATATTTAAATTTATATCTTCACAGACACACAAAGCGTTTGCTGTGTCTATAGACTTTTTCTTTGAAGATAAACACACTATTCTTCTCTTGAAAGGTTGGTTGTGCTGCTGAGTAGAGACTGGCAAAAGTGCAAGTCAACCAGCCAGTCTGTAATCTCCTTTGTTTTGTAGAAGGTGGTGATTGAAGTACTTACTGTAATCATAAAAGAAAAAAGAAAAGAAAAGAAAACCCTTCTTTGTTCCTGTATTAATTTCTCAGGTAGATAGAGGACAAACAAGACCAATTACGTAGCCATTTACACCCACATGCACATAATCTGAATGGATATAAGTGAGTAAAGCACGTGACTGGTTGTTTCCAAACAAATAAGTCTTCGTGTAAAATCCAAACCCCCACATAGGAAGGCAAACTACCACTACAGAATACAACAATCCCTCTTACCATGGGAGGCTCTTCACTTTATGAAGCTGAAGCCTAAACTATTGGATCCATTGGATCAGTTTCCTACCTATTGGAAGTGCAGTGATACCTGGTTGACTGCACACCTCAACCAACTCTATATGCCTGCACCAACTCTGGTTGGCCAAATGCAGAATGAGCACATCAACATGGAACTGTCCTGCGAGTTGTTTGGGATATGTAGTGTAAAGAAAGCGATAAGGCAAAGTTTGGTTCACAATCTCTTAGGTAGACTGGCAGGTATGCAAGTGGGGTTTTCCCATCACGAAGCAAGTGTGGTAATTTTCTTCTCTCCAGATAGCTGCAGTTAGCATGAATTACTGATAAAGCCTCACACAGTTAGAAACTTCATGGAAAATCATTACCCACAACTGTTTATCTGTTTGTTAATAAGGAAGACATTTATCTGGGAATACTAACCCAGTTCCAGTAGGAGCATTGTCCACACATCGAACAGAAAAAGCTTCTTAGTTAATAATTCTATGAGGATATTGTCAATCTGCATCTGTTCATTAATAAAATGAGGAAATTTAACAGTACCAACCTTGAAACAATGGTAATATTCTCCAGATGGAAATGGGGCCTAGGCTGGCAAACTGCCCAAGGGAGCATTCCATGAAAAATAAAGGCAAGCCAGCTAATGCCAACATCAATGTGTATGGGATTAGGAAAGCACCTGAGCAGAGAACAAGAAAAAAGCAGAAAACAATGAATCTTTCAGTATTCACTGCATTTTATAAGACCACTTTGCCCCGTCTCAAATACCTGCTGTGGCTTATTTGCTTTTTGCAGAACATAGGCATTTATACGTAAAAGTTGTTTTCTGTAAGACTAATAGTACCTATGAAGAAGAGACGTGGGTTACCAGAATTGATTTACATGGGATTATTCCTCTTATTGAGCTAAAGGGATTTTGCAAAGACTACTGAAGATATCATTCTCAGAGAACCAGGAACACTGCTCAGCTGTAGGCTTGGTCTGCTTTCTATTTCTTTTAATTTAAGCATGGACAAAAGTATTTCTTCACATCCTTAGACACAAGTTGCAGCTGCACCGTCAGAGAAGCTACAGGATGTCAAAGCATGAAAATTATGTTATATGGTTGGCTGACTCCTATGTCAAACAGGATCCCAGCATGGCTCTTGTGTAAGCCCATTTTAGAGCTCACATTAACCTGACATCAATGAGAACCCTGTCCTGTGGAAGGGATTGGCACTTCTTTTGTGCACACATGAAGAACAAGGAAAGAGAGAACACAGCTTTCCTGAACACGACCCGACATCCACATGTGTAACCAGGCAGAAATCCATCCTCCGTGCTGCCTGACTTAAAAGCCACTGAGGACCCAGTTCTACAAGGAACTGCAAATACCTGCTGTAATTTAAGGATGCGAACAGCCCCCTTCAATTAGTTGGGGCAAAGAAGGATACAAGAAGCAACACAATGGTGTTTTAAATGCTAGATCTGCTGCAGCAGATACAAACCACCTAACAGGTAGGCTGATGTCCTGACTTATTTTGTTTTCACAGTTTTGTTCAAGAGCCATAAGGAAGGCAATCTGGCCAATAACTCAAGCCAATAAAACTTCTGTACTAAGAATGCCATCTTGCATTCCACACACAGTTGGATGAACTGCATTGCATATAAGAGTTCAAAATTTGACTCAAAATGATTGTTGGGCAGAGTAAATAAGTACACAGAAGAAAGCACACTGCAGATACTAGACATTTGCACTCTTCCTAATTACCAGTGGTTGCTTGGTGGGTAGACAGAGCTCTGGAAGAGCAGTCAGGGAATCTAGAGCCTCCATTTGTCTTCGCCAGTTATTCATTATGTAAGCAGGTAGAGGCTTTCTGCCCCACACTTCTGTAGAATCTGATGGGGATTATTACTGAGGTTGGATAATTATTTCAGCTTAGCTCATTTGTCTGGGCGAAACAAAGACTGAGAGAGGACTCAACTGCACTCTATAAACATATCAAAGCAGTAAACACTGAGGAAACAGAACAGCTATTTAAGCTGTTATCAATGGATATTGGCACATTAATAAAGAGGTGCAAGTGAGTGATGAGGAAGTCAGAAGAGTTCTGCAATACTCAGACTGAAGACTGCAGTTAAAACTAAGTCATATCCCTCTCCTCAGCCAGTACTCAAAAAGCAGAGAGATGCTTCTTCCTGCTCTTCCCATTCCTATCAGCGGGCATCATCCCAGTTCTCAGCGAGATGCTCACATCCAGCTTTGACAAAACACATCCAGCCTCAGGGCTGGCCTTCATGGCTCTTGGAGATAGCAAGGTGTGCCCACCCAGAACTGCCATTCAATACAGGTACCTCCGCCGTTCTGGTAGGTGAGATATGGAAAACGCCAGACGTTGCCCAGGCCCACGGCGTAGCCCACCATGGAGAGAAGGTAGTCAGCTTTGTTCGACCAGTTGCCACGATCTGAGTTCTCATCATTGTCACTGGCGTGAGCATCTTTTTCATTTGACAGACTGAAGTCCTTGGAAGAGAAGAAGAGGGAAGGCTCAGGATCACCCCAGCGGTAAGCAGGACAGTCGTATCCTCATTTATCTGTCCACAGCAACACCTGAACATCTCTGGGCAGGGCAGTCAGATAGGGTGGGCAGAGCCAGGTGGGGTGACCAGTCCAACTGGTCTTTGACCAGACAGCACGAACCTGTTAGGGTCCTCCCGGGAGCCCAAAGATTCTTCAGAGCCAATTGTATCCTGCTCCTCCTACCAGCTCCTGGGGACAGAATCTCCAGGAACCCCCTGCTCTGCCTCTGTACATGCCCAGATATATCCATACTTGTCTAAGTACTGAGCTCATCCCCTTCTGCCCACCTATTTAGGTGCCCCTGTATTCCTGTATTTACCTGCATCCCATCTGGATAGATGCTTTAATGTCTGCCTAGGTACACCATATCACCTGCCCAGCGCTTCCAGGTAGCCATTTTACTCAAATGCCCCTATGCCCACCTGAAGCACTTCCATAACCTACCTGCTCAGGTGCATTTGTAACCCGCCTATTTCCCCTCCCAACACACACTCGTCCAAGTGTCCCTACGCCTACCCGAGTACCCACACAGCCCACCTGCCCCGTGCCCCATCCCCACCTTCTTCTTCCCGCAGGATAGGAAGCCCGGCAGGCTGAGCATCCCCATCGCCGCCGCTGCCGGAGCCGCTCCGCTCTGCCCACGCCGCCCGCTGCGGGCCCTTTATCGGAGCCGCCTCCCTCCCGCCGCCCGCCCCCCTGCCAGGAACCGCGGCCCCGGGGCTGCCCCACGCTCCGGGCGGGGCTGCGGGCGATGCGGTCCCTCCCGCCCCCTGGAGCAGCTCGGGCGCCCCGTGGCCGCTCGCCCCAGCCCGTGCCCACTTCCCCTCCGCACGCCCAACCCCTCGCCCACTTCCTCGGGAACACCCGCCCGAGCTGTCCCGGTCCCCTGCCCACTTCCCCTCCTAAGTACCCCCTGCCCTCTCCACGCCCGGACCCGCTTCCCCTCTCACACACATTCTGCTCCTACCTATCCAACTTCAGCCTTCCAGCTTCTCACATACCTGCCAGAACATCTGACCCCACATCACCCCATGCCTCTCTCCGCAGAACCACTGCCTGCCCGCCTCACCTCCGTTCCTGCCGCACAAGCAGTTCCCAGCACACCGGTCTCCCATCACATCCAACACCCATCCCTTCCTTCTGTTCCTTCTCTCCCTTCTTCATGCCAAAGTCTCAGCTCAGGAGATGCATGAAAGCCAAGGGCACAACAGGGGTTAAACTTCGGTTTCTAAACACCTTCCACGCACAGGACACACAAAGACAAGACAGGTCATAAAAGCAAAGCCACCCCCAGAGGAGGAATTTAACAAGCAATGGCTTAATGACAACGACTTAACTGAGGACCTCCTGTGCTTCACCAAGTTGAGCAGCCTTCCCCATGTATACCCTATGGGCACTCAGGAGCACAGCAGCTAAAGCACACCGTGGTTCATGATGGTCAGCCAGCTGCCTTGCTGCTCTCCATTGCACCCACTCTTTTCTCTCACCTGCATACACTGTTCTCAATTAGTGAGGCTCCTTGTTCAGTAAGGCACTACCCAGCCTGAGTCTCCATGTGTTGTATCAGGAGTGAAAAGTGTATGGGAAAGCACCTGAAACACAGGTCAAATCAGATTTATTTATTTTTTTTAATGCAGCAGCTTCTCTTGGAGATTTCTATTTTAGCCCCTGGAAGGATGCCCGAATACTGCGTCTTTGGAAACAAAAGTAAGCACAAGCGTATTGTCTTGGCACAATGAAGGCTCTGCAAATTAAAGGTAAACAAATTAAGAAAACATTCCTTGATGGGCTGCCTGCAAACTGCGGGCTGTAACAGCCGAGCATGAGAACACAGAATGCCAGCCTTCAGTTCTACATGGCACAGCACACAGCTCGCATACACTGAGGGTGAGCTGAGATTCTTCTGAAGCCTGTTTGGATTTAATGTAAGCTAAATCAACCTGACAATCCCAGAGTGAGTTGTGAATATGGAATTTTTAACATGAGACAGCATGATTTTGGTTTGGGTTATGGATAACCCTGGGATCTGGGGACCACTGGCTCCCCAGGTAGAAAAGAACACCTTCCTGCAAGCAGCACCCGACAAAAGCATCCAAATCTCTTCCAAAGTCATGATTCAGAACTGGTTATCAGCTTGTTTAGAAACAAAACGAGATGAAAAACAACCTGTTAGCCACAGCCTCTCCCTCCTTATTAGGATTAAGTGCATGTTGTAATGCTGTGGAGTCACCAGCTGTGGCATTCTCTGTGTAACTCGAGATGACTAAAAGTAAAACTATACTGGAGGTATCGCTGCTGGGATGCACTCAGTTTCTGACCACGGGAATGTTCTTCATAATGCATTTTCTGTATTTGAGGACAGTCAGCATTCAGGAGGTGATCAGTGAAGAGATGAATTCAGTTAAAGGAGAGAACTTTGCCTGGGGCAGGCCTTCATTTTGCCTGCTTGGTAGATATGCAGCTGAATAGCACAACAGTTTGATCTGCAATTTCTGGAGGCTGAAGATCAAACTCAAGCCCCAGAGGCTGCTTCCCCAAAGCCAGCAGAGCTACCAACACCATAGCAGCTATCTAAGTCACTTTTTAGTTTGGAAAATCACCTCGAACTATTACGAACTCCACGTACTGAGCATTCTGTCAACCCAATTAATAACACTAATAAGAATTAGGATGGCTTCAATGCACTGACAACACAGTAAACAACCCTGAAACTTGCTACAGATATCTGTGTTTTCCATCTAGTTACAGCAGTGGTTTTATCACACGGTGGATATGGCTCTCAGCAAACACAAACACAGCTATGGCAATGAAGTAGAGGTGTTTGGTGCGCTTATTTAAGAACAAGATGAGTAAACTATTTCTTAATCTGTATCTTCTGTGATAGCAGTGCTAACTAATATTGGCACCGGGCACACACATTCAAAACTGAATCAGTAGACAAAACAATCATTAATTTACCATTCCCACTGCCAACAAGCAGAGGGTAAAGACCAGAAAACCCACTCCAAGAAGAGGAGTGACAGCTATAGAATAAGGAGGTGACGCCACACTGGGTACCATGAGGCAAGTGTCATGAACCTGCTCCACACCTAGGAATGGGCAAGGGGTGTGCCAACAGGCACTGCGTGGTCATAAGGATTGTTGGTGCATTCCCACAAAATGGAAGTGAGGGACTACATGTCTGTAGCTGCTGACTGACAGAAAGAGCCTTCTCTCTCTTCCTCTATCCCAGCATCATCTCAGCAGCAGACAAACACCAGCTAAGGTAGCAGCAACGCATGCAACCAGAGAAAAAAGGAAAAAAGTTGGTCTTCAGGGTCTGAAGAAGATGACCTCAAGCACCCAACCATCCATCAACAACACATAATTACTGTGACCCATGTAGCTCCATGGCCACATCGTACTCTTCTTGGTGAGCAGAATCAGAAAGGCAGAAGGGATGTCTTGTGGTTGGTGACCCTGCATGTAGAAGGGAGGTTTGAAACTAGATGATCATTCCGGTCCTTCTCAAACCAGTCCATTCTATGAGTGATCCTATTCTGATCCTATGACTGTTACAAGCCAACAGACCAAGCAAGGCAAAGCAGATAGCTGGCTCCTGCAGGAGGTGGAATTACCTTCTCCTGCACAGGTGAACAACAAAATTAAACACAAAGCGTTAATTTAAATATAAATGGTAGGGCTTAGCAAAGTTTCAGCCTTGATTAAAGGACAAAGTGATAATGAGTAAGACTGTTTCCTTTGTGGTTAACTGACCTGCAGGTGATCTCGAACAACCTTTACCATTAACTTAAACCACTGATTGGTCAAGCACTCCATGAAAACAAGACAGGATTCTCCACCTGTGAGAAAGGTATTATTGCTCTGTGTGCAAGGTGGGAGATCATCTAAAAGGGAGGGATATCCAGAGCTGCTCAGAAAACAGTGATAGTGTTAACGAAGGCACAAGCTATGCAAATTGCAGAGACGAAACCAATTGTCTCCCTTGCCTCATCCTAATGGCTTCCATCCAACAGTTGGTGTGAATCAGCCAACAGAGACAAGAAGCGGACTCCGCTTCCAACCCTACTGATCCCTTCAGGGCAAGGGTGAGATTTAGCCTATGGGAAGAGGAGATAATCTTTTATACATCCTTATTCCTGGTTGTGTTGTTGTTCTTTATCAGTTCTGTGCCTTTTCTGCATAGCTGGGAAGTTTGTTGCTGCCATTCAGGAGGCCATGAAGAAGCTCACATCTGCTGAGTTGGGATCTCAGAGCCAAGAGCACATTTTTTTTTACAAAAAAGAGTTCATGGATTGGGAGTTCTAAGAATTTTGGATTAATTACCTTAGAAAAGTAGTATCAGAATAAGTGTATTCTTTAATTTCTCTAATATTTGAAGAGCTTTGCTCACTGTTCGAATATTAACTGTTGGTACAAAAGAGAATTTAAAGTAAGAGGAAATAAAATGGAAAGTGGAAACAAATTAGTCTATCTTCATTTTGAATCGTTTGAGAAATACTCCATCAAGGTTTTTACCAAAAATATTCCCATAAAATGTTTTTATTTTGCAGGGGTGGCATTCTCTGAAGGAAAAGCTCCACCATATTTTTAAAGGAACTCCTTATGTATTATGTCATCACATTAAATGTCCGTATTAACCCAACTGCAAATAATGGTACCTGATCTCATTTTCTTCCCAACCTTAGCACTTCTGAGTTCAGCTGTGTGGTTGTCTGAGGTGATAAGTGCAGCAACATCACTTCTGCTGAGCTGTTTGCCTCTAGGCTATCATACCCCAAAGTAGGAGGCTGCTAATTAACTCACTAATCTCCTCCAAACGAAGCAGCTGGAAAAGCACCATAAATGCAAAATGCACAAGTCCCCATCCATCAAATTAATAAAGGTGTTTTCAAGACTATTTGCAAGACTGTCAGCTTTTTACCTACTGTAATCGATCTACATACTACAAGTTCCAGTCGCTGAGAATCTGTTGGTTTGCCACATGTGAATACGATGCTTCTCAAACATAGAGCTCCATCTAGAGTAAAGATCAAAACAAAGAAAAAAAAAGATTAAGGAATCCAAAGTCAGATCAAATAGAGGCTAGATGTCTCTATCAGACATGTCAACCCGTGAAAATTCTCAGCTGAAGTACTGACTTGCTTTGGAATCACTAAAATGAGGTGAACAACTGCATTAGCAGCCCCAGAAAACTTAATTCCTGCAGTTCTGCTGCTAAATATGGCCCAGAGCAATTCAGCTTTCCATGGACAGATGAGCCTGCTGCCAAATTAGCACCCAAGGCTGTGAGACATCAGGCCAGCCTCACCCCCAGCTGCCTCCTCCCTGACCAAATACCTTCAGCTTGTCTTCAAGCAACAGAAACAGTGTGCAAATGCAAAACCTTAGGTGAGCATCCTGAAAGTCATAACAACAGATACAACTAAGGAAAGGGATGAAATAACTAAAATCTGGAAGGTGTCAGAATGTAATGACTTTCCTCTTGGGAAACATTCCAAAGGCACTAAGGAGTCATTTTTAATTGAGTAAGACAAAGCCTACAGATAAGTACAATACTATTTTCAAATATGATGAACTGAGTCCCTCACTCTCATCAGCAGCTTTTGAAATACAGGCTTTGACTACCATAAAGCAGAAAGGAAAGCTGTCAGCTCAGTCTAACTTTCATTCAGGTAACTTTGCATGCTAACATACCTTGCTGTTATGTGATCTTTAATGGAATTATCCTTGGGTTTATCTTCCTTCACAACAGGACAAAAGCCAGGCTGTTCGCCATGCCTAATATATTAGGAAGGCAAATGCCTCCATCAATGCTTTCCTTTTTGTAGTATCTATTCCTGTAGGTTACAGATACTCTCAGAAATGGCTTATTCAAGCCAGTGGGACTCCTCACATGGGCAAAAGCAACCTCACATTAAGTAATAACACCATAAAATCACTCGTTAAATGACACAATTAAAAAAAGGAAAAAAAACCCCATACATTAAAGATCCAGTGCAATATACAGTGTGTAGTAGTACTTCTCCGTGTCACCAAAAAAACATAGAGACACTAAACCAATAATGATGTAGCCAAGTACATTCAGATTGTAAAAGGAAAAAAAAAAAAAAAAAAGCCATTCAAAAGGATATGGGTTACATAGACACCATTATTACAAACCAGCAGGCCTTCTACAGCTCTTCTCATCACTAGATTTTGAAATTCCTTAGAGTAGAAATGAGTGATTTTACCCTGCTTTTATAAAGAGGTTGATAAAGTATTTTAGTGCTCACTTGTTGAATAGAAAAGACGTGAACTGTAGTTGAACTCTGAATCCCCAACCCCATTATTTCTTTTATCTCCACAACATCTCCTTCTTTATAAAGCCAGTGAGTGCCTTCAGATTCCCCTTAAGCAGAGAAGAAAGCAGGCACCTCCCCTCCCCCGAATAATCTATAATTGGTTGGAAAGTCCTTTAACCAGGAATTCCATCAGCCATATTAATACCCACAGTTGCCACAAACCTCACCACTCCCTTGGCTTTCTTCCCTTCCACAATCAGACCTTTCCAGCCCAGAGGCTCTTTCCCTCTGGCTCAGGTTTTTCTGAG